TAATAGTAGTAGTAGTAGTAGTAGTAGCCGTAGTCGTAATAGTAGTAGTACGAGTACTAGTAGCAGATGACGTAGTATTAGTAGTACTAGTAGTAGTAGCAGCAGTACCAGTAGTAGTTGTAGTACTAGAAGTAGCAGTAACAATGACACTAGCAGTAGCAGTGGCAATAGAAGTAGCCGTCGAAGTAGAATTAGTAGTGCTAGTAATAGTACTAGCACGAGTAGCAGTCGTAGCAGTAGTAGTAGTAGTAGTAGTAGTAGTAGTTAGTATAGTAGTAGTAGTAGTAGTAGTAGTAGTAGTAGTAGTAGTAGTAGTAGTAGTAGTAGTAGTAGTAGTAGTAGTAGAGTAGTAGTAGTAGTAGTAGTAGTAGTAGTAGTTAGTAGTATGTAGTAGTAGTAGTAGTAGTAGTAGTAGTAGTAGTAGTAGTAGTAGTAGTAGTAGTAGTCGTAGTAGTAGTAGTAAAGTAGTAGTAGTTAGTTGTAGTAGTAGTAGTCAAGTAGTAGTAGTAGTAGTAGTAGTAGTAGTAGTCGTAGTAGAGTAGTAGTAAGTAGTAGTAGGTAGTAGTAGTAGAGTAGTAGTTCGTAGTCGTAAGTCGTAGTAGTAGTAGTAGTAAGTAGTAGTAGTAGTAGTAGTAGTAGTAGTAGTCGTAGTAGTATTAGTAGTAGTAGTTAGTAGTAGTAGTAGTAGTAGTGTAGTAGTAGTAGTAGTAGTAGTAGTAGTAGTAGTAGTAGTAGTAGTAGTAGTAGTAGTAGTAGTAGTAGTAATAATAATAGTAGTAGTAGTAGTAGTAGTAGTAGTAGTAGTAGTAGTACTATCTCCGAACAGCACGCCGACAGTCGTTTGGTGCAGGCGTGTGTCTGCCTGCCTTCGCATATACCCTCTGTTCCTATTTCCTTCTCCCTCCTTGTACAGCCTCCTTGTAGGGGAGCCGAAGGAGGACTAGTCGGAGGAGGAGGAGGGAGTGAAGGAGTTGGGAGGCAAGACAGAGGGCGTTCGTCGTCGAGTCCAGCGATCTCCCCGACCAGCGTCGTCGTTGTTGCCATTCTGGCTCGCAATATTTCAGTGTGGCTGTGAGCTTCGCTCCGCCTACCAAGGATCCACGATCTTCAGGCTGTACTAGTATACAAGGCTGTCAGGCTCAAATTTTAGATTTCTTCAAGGCTTACCACAGGGTTTCTGGGGGGAGGGGGGCCTGGCCCGCGGCCTAGGGCGGGGCCCGCTCCTCCTCCTCCCCCTCCTCCTCCTCCTCCTCCTCCTCCTCTCACTCCTCCTTTTCCTGTTCCTTCTCCTCCTCCTGTTCAGACTACATGGCTCGCCAAACGGCACTGCGACGCCGCGCAAACGTTGGGCCACATCGGATACAGGGAGCACTCGGGGGAGGCCTCCCTCTTCCTCTCCCTCCTCCTGTTTTCCTCTTCCTCCACATCCTCCTCCCCTCCTCCTGCTCCTCCTCCTCCGCCCCCCCCCTCCTCCCCTCCTCCTCCTCCTCCTCCTCCTCCTCCTCCTCCTCCTCCTCTCCTCCTCGTCCTTCTCCTCCTTTTCCTCCTCCTCCTCCCCCATCCCCCATCCTCCTCCTCCTCCTCCTCCTCCTCTCCTCCTCCTCCTCCTCCCCCTCCTCCCCATCATCATCATCATCATTCATCATCATCAGCATCATCATCATCCTCTCTCATCATCATCATCATCATCGTCATCATCCCTCTTCCCTCCTCCTCCCCCCGCCCCCGTCTCTCTCCCCCCCCTCCTCCCCCCCTCGTTCTCCTCTCCCTCCTCCTCCTCCTCCTCCTCCTCTTCCATCTCCTCTTCCTCCTTTCCTCTCCCCCCTCCTCCTTCTCCACCTCCTCCGCGTGCAAGAAATCCAACAACATGTCGCGGAAATCAACGAACTGTGTCCCTCCGGGTTTTTTCGGGCGTCCTTCTAGGACTTGCCGAGGCCGTCTTAGGGCCCCCTTGGGCGTCCTGGGGCCCCGGAAATCATGTTCCGATAGAGGCTTCGGGGAACATGATTTCGGACGCTGCGGAAGAGGCCTCCCGAGAATCTCTATAGGCAGCTCTGCTTGCCTCCGTTGTGGCTATGTTGGGTGCCTTTTGGGGCTCTCTCGGGCTGACTTGTAGCTCTCATGGGTCATCTTGGGTCCCTCTTGGGCCGTCTTGGGGCTCCTCGGGGTGGCACTGTGAAGACGTCGTCGACGTCGCCGTTCGCCGATCGGCGGCGTCAACTGTTGTCATCGTCGTCCATCGTCGTCGTCGTCGTCGTCGGTCGTCGCCGTCGACGACCGTCGTCGTCATCGTCAATCACCGTCGCCGATCACCGTCGCCGATCGTCGATCGGCCCCGAGCCCTCCCGCCCACTCATCCTCCTCCTCCTCCTCCTCCTCCTCCTCCTCCTCCTCCTCCTCCTCCTCCTAATCTGCCTCCTCTTCCTTCCTCCTCCTCCTCCTCCTGAAATCATGTTCCCGGAGACGCTTCCGGGGACAGGATTTCGAACGATGCAGAAAAGACTGGGTCCAGGGTGGCTCTGCGCACGCGGACAGCGTCGCCGCCGTCGGCGTGGCCGTCGTCGTCGTCGCCGTCGATCGTCGATCGGCGACGTCGACTGTTGTCATCGTCGTCTATCGTCGTCGTCGTCGGTCGTCGACCGTCGTCGTCGTCGTCGTCGTCGTCGTCGTCGTCGTCAATCACCGTCGCCGGTCGTCGTCGCCGATCGTCGATCGCCCTCGAGCCTCCTCCTCTCTCCCCCCCTCCTCCCCTCCACTCCTCCTCCCCGCCTCCTCCTCCTTCTCCTCTTCCTCTCCTCCTCCTCCTCCTCCTCCTCCTCCTTCGCCCTCTCCGTCTCCTCCGCGCGGAAGAAATCCAACAACATCTCGCGCAAATCAACGAACTATGGCCCTCCGGGCCTTTTTGAACGTCCATTTAGGGCCTTTGGGGGCCGTCTTAGGGCCCTCTTGGGCGTCCTGGGAACCAGGAAATCATGTTCCCGGAGAGGCTTCTGGGAACATGATTTCGAACGAGGCCCTCTTGGGCCTTCCTGAGGCCGTGTTGGGGGCCTCCTGGGCCAACTTTGGGGCCTCTTGGGCCGTCTTGGGGGTTCCGTGAGCCTCGCAGGACGACCCTTTTGGGCCGTCTTGGGCCCTTTTGGGTCTCTCTTGGGCTGTCTTGGGGCTCGGGGGCGTCTGGGGCACTGTGAGGACCAAGCACGCAAATATGCTGAAAACGTACGTTGTACAACGGGAATGGGCCGATTTTTGCCTCTTGAAGGCCCTCTTCGGCCAGCTTCAAACCATCTCGGGCCCTCTTGAGGCGCTCTTGGACGTCTTGGGGCCCCCTTGGGCCTCGCTGAGGCTGTCGGACAGCGTCGCCGCCGTCGGCGTGGCCGTCGTCGTCGTCGCCGTCGATCATCGATCGGCGGCGTGGCCGTCGATCGTCATCGGTCGTCGTCATGGTCGTCGTCGACCGTCGTTGTCGTCGTCGTCGTGAATCACCGTCGCCGGTCGTCGTCTCCGATCGTCGATCGCCCTCGAGCCTCCTCCTCCTCTCCCCCCCTCCTCCCCTCCACTCCTCCTCCCCGCCTCGTCCTTCTCCTCTTCCTCTTCCTCCTCCCCCTCCTCCTCCTCCTCCTCCTCCTCCTCCTCCTTCGCCCACTCTGTCTCCTCCGCGCGGAAGAAATCCAACAACATTTCGCGAAAATCAGCGAACTGTGGCCCTCTTGGAATTTTCGAATGTCATTTTAGGCCCTTTTGGGGCCGTCCTGGGGCCCTCTTGGGCGTCCTGGGAACCCGGAAGCCATGTTCCCGGAGAAGCTTCTGGGAACATGATTTCGAACGAGGCCCTCTTGGGCCTCCCTAAGGCCGTCTTGGGGGCCTCCTGGGCCGGCTTTGGGGCCTTTTAGGCCGTCTTGGGCTGTCTTGGGGCTCCTCGGGGGCCACTCTGAGGACGAAGCAAGCAAGTATGCTGAAATTGTACGTTTTATAAAAGGAATGGGTAAAGTTCTGCCTCTTGAAGGCCCTCTTGGGGCCCTCTTCGGCCATCTTGAAGCCATCTCGGGCCCTGTTGGGGCGCTCTTGGACGTCTTGGGGCCCTCTGGGGCCTCGATGAGGCTGTCTTGTGTGCCTCTTGGGCTGTCACGCGGGCAGCGTCGCCGCCGTCGGCGTGGCCGTCATCGTCGCCGTCGATCGTCGACCGGCGGCGTCGACTGTTGTCATCGTCGTCGATCGTCGTCGTCGTCGGTCGTCGACCGTCGTCGATCGTCGTCGTCGTCGTCGTCGTCGTCGTCGTCGTCATCGTCGTCGTCGTCGTCAATCTTCGTCGCCGGTCGTCGTCGCCGATCGTCGATCGCCCTCGACCCTCCTCCTCTCTCCCCCCCTCCTCCCCTCCACTCCTCCTCCCTGCCTCCTCCTTCTTCTCTTCTTCCTTCTCGTCCTCCTCCTCCTCCTCCTCCTCCTTCGCCCACTCCGTCTCCTCCGCGCGGAAGGAATCCAACAACATCTCACGCAAATCAACGAACTGTGGCCATCCGGGCCTTTTTGAAGGTCCTTTTAAGGCCCTTTGGGGGCCGTCCTGGGGCCTTCTTGGGCGTCCTAGAAACCCGGAAATCATGTTCCCGGAGAGGCTTCCGGGAACATGACTTCGAACGAGGCCCTCTTGGGCTGGGCCTTCCTGAGGCCGTCTTGGGGGCCTCCTGGGCCGGCTTTGGGGCCTCTTGGGCCGTCTTGGGGGGGGTCCGTGAGCCTCACAGGACGACTCGTTTGGGCCGTCGTGGGCCCTCTTGGGTCTCTCTTGGGGCTCAGGGGCGTCTGGGGCACTGTGAGGACCAAGCAAACGAGTATGCTGAAAATGTATGCTTTACGAGAATGGAAATAGGCCGGTGTTTGCCTCTTGAAGACCCTCTTGGGGCCCTCTTCGGCCATCTTCAAGCCATCTCGGGCCCTGTTGGGGCGCTCTTGAGCGTCTTGGGGCCCTCTTGGGCCTCGCTGAGGCTGTCTTGTGGGCCTCTTGGGCTGTCTTTGGGGCCTCATAGGCCGTCTTTTTTTTTAGATCCTGTCCGCCTCGAGGCCAAGGTCCAGCCTCAGAGCACGGATGAGCCGCGCACGCACACTACTTCGCACGGAGATGGTGCGTCGCGGTCGCGCAACGCTCATGCAGCCAGATCGAGTGATTGTGGGTTCGCCCAGATCAATGGAAAAGAACCTGCCGAGCACGAGACGAACGGACGCCCACAATAAGGATGCGCTGCTGCCCAGACGTGGATCGCAGGAAAACGCTCGCTGAAAACGACGAGCGGTGCGCGGTCCGTGCGTCGCAAGAAAATCAGCAGCGGCTATCCGGCTACCTGCACACCAGAACAACACGCAGACGGGTCTGCACGACCACGACTGCGCACGAGGAAAACGAAAGCATTTGTCAGTAGAGGACCTCGACGCGGAGCTCGAAGTCCATGAGCCAGCAGTCGGAGGTCCTGTCCAGCACGTCGCCCCTACAGGGCTCCGTAGCTGTCGCGGACCGCCATAAGTGTAAGCACTGCTGGGGAGCTCGTTGGAACACCGTTGGGGCGTCTGCGGTCCGTTCTGCGAGAACAAGCACCAAGTCAGGAATGCTACAATTCACAGCGGCTAACGTCTACCGGCAAATGGCAAACTACATTGTGGATGCATGTAGAAGGCCATGCAGAACAAACGCGCCGATCACAGAAAGTACGCATGAGCACGTCGGAGCTGGTGACGACGTTAAACTGGCCCGCAAGTCTGGTGTCTTCCTCATCGTCGTGGTCGTTGTATATTTTGAAATCCAGGTCGCCGGGAGGTCGGCCGTCATGGTGCTTAAAATATTGCTGGCGCGAACTGAACTCAAATCGCCCAGTTGCATGCACGCAGGCGGAGCCACCACTGGCGCTGTATACGACAGCTGGCCCACCCCCGCACATCGTATACTTTTTTTCCCCATAAGGGTTGTTAGGACGCTCCCCTTATCGATCATTGCACCTGTCATCATCTGAGCAGGATAATACATGAAGGCACCCCAGCACATCTCATTTTTCGTTGCATCCCCGAACTCAGTAGGCTCTGTTCTCGAGGACGTATCATACTTGCATGTAAGCGTTAGCTCGTCTCCTCTAGAAATAGTGTTCAACAAGGGCGGTTCAAAGTTCTGGTGGTTGAAATCGTACCTCTTCTCCTGACGGAGCGTCCCACGATAGCTTCCGTCTGCGCTGCTGGTGATATCAATACCGAAGCTCTTGCCGACGAGATGGCCATGGTAAAGCACACCCAGCACGTTGATACTGGGTACGTCCCAAGCGTTCGTGCACTGCTCTGGGACGGTAACGGTGCTCAGAGTGATATCTGCCTGGCCGGCTGGCAATGGATTGCGATGATTCGGGCTGGTGCCCCCGTTGAGGTCGAAGACTGCAGCGTCGTGGGTGCGGAGAGAATCGCTGAAAATCATCATGACGCCGCTGCTGTCCTTGACGCCTGCGACCAGCAACGGGTTGTGATAGTGCATCTGCAGTGCCAACCAGCGCACGTTCTGACCAAACGGCATGCCCACGTCTGCAGGGAGTACAACGTCTTCGCTCCCAACGGCCCAGGCCCATTTCAATGCGTTGCAAGCTGGCGGCATGCTTCTGCAATCACCGATCACCTGATTGTGTGATACATACTTATCGTATAAGGCAGCGGCAGCACTGTCACAACTATACAATATCATGTGATGGACATACTGTTCGCTGCTCGCGGATAACTTCGGCACAAACTTGACGACGTGGTGCTTATCCAAGACACTCCTGTTAGCTGGCAAAAGTTGTGCGAGATCGAAGATACCACAAATATAAGGGTTCGTAGGATCATTGCCTCCCTTCCCGAGCACCACGTCGACATCTGGCATCAGCACGTCCACTTCCTCCAAGCTGGGCAGATCCGGAAGCGTCGAAGGCCCTGAGAGCAAGTTGACATGAAACTGGCCACGCTTACTGCTGTGGTATGCGAAGCTGTGGGAGCTACCCAGTGCCCAGTGCATCCAGCGGCTCACATCTTCAACGGGGTACCTGTCGCCAGCACCGCAGGAGATCCGAGGCAGTAGCAAACCCCATGCAGTTCCGCCTTTCTCCTCGCTGGCGAAGATCAATGTCAGGTCCTGCGTTTCCTGCATTTGTGGAGGTGCGTAGTCTGTGGAGTAGCGCTCCTCGGCTATCCAAGTGCCGCCTTCCTGCCGCACTACAAATTGCTGGGCCCCTTTCATGCCGCCGTTGCCAGCAAACGCCAACGCACTCCAACCACTGTGCCCAGCAGCGTAAAGTCCGAGCTTCAGGAAGCTTCCCTCCGCACTGGGCCCATAATAAATCAATACATCGTCGTGCACCTTCTTACAGAAAGGCCACTGGTCTTGAATAAAATTGCCATTGCCGCCAAAGCAGGTTACATCAGCGGCCATTCTCGACAGCTGGGCAACACAGGCAACCAATCGCAGAGCAATCGTTGGCATGCTGCCCTGAATCAGTCAGATCGCTCGATTGATTGTATCTGGAAGGTCGCTCGCATGGGAAAGCTATGCGCTGTGGAGCACATGAGGACCTTGAGCCAAAATGGCTACGGATTGGGGCCTCATAGGCCGTCTTGGGCGGGTTCGTGGACCCCACAGGACGCCCGGGGCGGCCATGCCAACCGGTGGCACCACCCCACCCCCGCCCCCGGGCCCCGTCCGTCTGTCCTACTGCTCCTCTCCAAACCCTCGTTCCCTAACCTCCCGATCATGTTCCCAGACCCCCGTCCCTTCCCCCCAGAGCACCGCAGCAGTAGGAAAGCGTTCCGAAACGGTGAGAAATCATGTTCCTGGAAAGCGTTCAAGAATATGAATCGCACGTCGTCCAAGGCGCCTCGGAAGGCGCAGAATACTCCTCCGAGGCGCGGAATCATGTTCCCGGACCGCCTTCAGGGAACATGATGGGGACGACCTCCTGAGGGCCTCCAGTGGGCCTTTTTGGGGCCTCTCGGGGAGGCTCTTGGGGGCCTCTTCGGGGCCTCTTGGGGCCTCGCGGGGCCCTCTTGGGGACCGCTGGGCTCGCTTAGGCAGTCTTGAAGCCTTGTCGGGGCACTCCTGGAACCGTCTTGGGCGGCTCCTGGGCCATCTTGGGGCTCTCCTGGGCCGTCTTGGGACGATTTGGGGGGTCTCTTGGGCCGTCTTGGGGCGGTCTTGGGGGCCTCTTCGGCCGTCTTGGAGCGGTTTTGAGAGACTCTTGGACGGCCTTGGAGCGTCGGAACCCCGAAAAAGCGAGAAGGCCAAAAACCTAGAAAAAACAAATCAATAAAAATCAACGGTGTTGGCTTGTCGGGGCTCTCTTGGGAGGCCTCTTGGGATGCCTTCGGGGCCTCATGGAGCTCTCTTGGAACGTCTTCGGGCCTTCCTGGCCATTCCTGAGGCTATCTATGCGCGTCTTGGAGCGCTCGCGGGCCGTCTTGGGCGGTCTCAACTTGTTCCTGGCGGTCCCAAGGGCCCTCCTGGACGCTTCGGGCGCTCCCGGGGGCGCCCTGCACACCCATGGAGATGACAGGCACCGCCCCGGGGCCCTTTTCCGATATATATATATATATATATATATATATATGGCATGCGAGCGTGGCACTCTCGCATTCAACGCGCGCGAAAATGTGCGTAATCATGAAACCCGCAGCTCTTAGCTTGCCCACAGCTCGAGTTCAGTTGAGACAACCACCCACGCAAGAAAGTACACGACCCAAGCTGAACAACGATTGGAGAATATCTGTCCATCTTAAAAGTTTTCGCCACGTGTAAAGCATGATCATATCATATCGAATGATGTGTTGACAGTTTGGTAGCTGTTTGCAGAATGCAACTACTTTTTCCATCCCAGCTTTGGTTGCAGACCGGTCTCATGCGTCTCGATACTCCAGACTAAAGCTCCTGACTTTGACCGTTCGAACGGTGTGCTTCCCAGCTCTGTAGCTTGCCGACAGCTCGAGTTAAGTAGAGACAACCAACATCGCCTTTAAACAATTTGAAGAATGCAAATAGTTCTTGGGTCGCAGCTCTGGTAGCAGACAAGACAGATCTGAAGCGTCTAGATACTTTAGACTTGCGCTTCTGATCATTTTCTGTCGATTGGTGTGCCTTTTCAGCTCCGTAACTCGCGTACAATTCGAATTAAATAGAGAAAACAAACTAGGCGCCGGCAGTAAACCATCAACCGGGTTACCGCAGGGAGCTCGTAGAGCTCATGGCATAAGAGTGTTCCACTGCAGACAGAAACTTTCTGGAGCGTGGGTGAAAACTTGCACGATGCACTTTTTAAGGTTTCAACACGAACTAAATTCGAAGTGTTTTGATAGTAGTGCAGCTACAGACCTGAAAAGTTTACCAGCGAACGCTGAATGACTGTTACTCCAGGTGTGGAAAATCTTTTCTGGAAACAAATTTCAAATTTCTAATAATCTTCAGAAAAGCTTGCAATTTCTTCAAAATCGGTCATTATTGAGGTTGGTCCCTGGAAGTGAATCGGGAAATATCTCAGCTTGAGCCCTGAGACTTTCACCAGCGAGCGCAGCGTGATCCAATGCTGAGCTCGAAAATCTGCGATTTCAAAATGAATTGTCAAATCCTTCAGTGTTCGAACAAGAGCTCGGGTTGTCACAACCTGAATTCTGCCCCGATCGACACTCTAGCTCGATCCTGTTGAATTCTTCTAGTTCTGGTCGAACCAAGAGCTCTAGAGATTACGTTCCAGGGCAGCGTGCTTCTTATGACACGTGCTACCTTGCGTGGGCAAGAACAGATACTTACTCGCAAACATTTGGAATGTCTTTTCATCAGATCAAAACGCATTCAGAATGTGACTAGTTGTTCAACAATAGTTTAATCAGACCGGAGCGGAAACATACACGCAGAAGAAGGTCTGGACTCGACTTGAGTTTGGAGATTTCCTTAATCAGCAAATTTCGAAATAGTGAATTTTGTTCTAGCAGCGAGTGCTTCAACTGTAACTTGAGTATCAAACCAGGTGTAGCTCTCTCGATGCTGTCGACTACTCCTGGTGAGTCTGATGTGCCGTTTCGTGCAACCGAGAGGTCTGTAGTTGTCGTGCAGATCGAGACCAGCTCTGCTACTTAACGTGTACACAAAAAAGAAGAACAAACGCGAATACAACAGCATTTCCTGGAAGTCAACAGATAGGAAAAATGCCCCCGAGAGCCGAGCTTCTGTCAGAATGAAGCGATGCTCGCGCTTGGAGCAAAAAAATGCGTTCTCGGAAGAACGATTACATGCGCTTGAAAAGCAAAAATTGAAACCGAACACAGGTCGTCACATTTTACTGTCTGCTCGGGTCGGCCAGCTAGCTTCACCCTGTTTCCGAATTCCTCCACTCTGGTTCAACCAAGAGCTCTACGAGGTACATCGCTCGGAGAAGTTTCGAAAGCGCGAATCGTTTTTCAGTCGCAGCTTTGGTAGCAGACCGATCTTGGACGACTCGACAGACTGTCGGCAGGTGTACATCTATCTCATCACCGTAGCTCAGCTATAGATCCAGGAAGATAAACGCATCCAATTTGTCTCTCGAAAAGTTGAGCCCGAATAGTGTGTTCGGTTGCAGCTCTGGTGACAGACTGATTTCAAACGTCTTTATACTCCCCACTAAAGCTTCTGGCGATTTTCGCTGATTGGTTCGCTGTCCAGCTCCGTTGCGATTTTAGGAAGAGTGGGAAAGATTTGATACTTCGTTTGGTCATCGAAAATTTGTCTACTCAGCAGTAGATCGCGATTTCATTGCTGGTGGAATTCAGAGCTGGCACGAATATTTCTATCGGCTTACTTCCAGGGAATTACCCTCAGAAACAACAGATTTTGAAGAAATTGAAGGCGTTCTAGGAATGATCTCTGGTTGGCCATTCGTTTGCCGAAATAAAGTGCCTCCACGACTGGAGCAGTTTCTGCCGCCTTCGCTTGCGAATTACTAGGTCTCTAGCAGCGTTGCTCGTACATTTCGTGGAAATGACTATCCGTTGAAACCCCAAAAATGCGTTTCCTTTGTTTTCGAGGTGGTGTTCGAGGGAGCTAACTGTCCGCATGCACGGCGCTGTCATGTGTGTGCGGAGCTCTTCGGAGTCCCCGGCGTAACCTGGTCCATGGTTTACCGCCGGCGCCCAGTTCACACCCGTACCGTGCCTACACCTCGATATATGTTGAGAAAACCTACGCAGTCTCTGAAAAAGTTACAGAGTGCGAGTACTGTTGCCCGTCAGCTTTCGCAGCGAACGCATTTCAGGAATTTCGATACTTGTGACTAGGACTCCGGGTCATTTCCTGCTGGGTAGAATGTATTTCGCCTTCGGGAGTGGCCTGTAGCTCGAACTATCTCCGAAAAACCATCAGGGGGACCCGACAGTGCGAATAGTTTGCGGTCGCAGCTCGTGGCAGACAACGATAGCTCATATTTGAACTCCTGATCATTTGCCGCCGCATGTTGTGAATTTCGCCTCTGGTAGTTCTCTGTAGATCGCGCTCTCTCTCTCTCTCTCTCTCCAGAAACCATCAGAAATATTGCAGAAATAGCATGGACAGCAACTCCTGCCATTTTTTATAATATCCATCCGACTTGCCTGAGATCAAGGTGGCGAGCGGGAGTGCGATGCTTGTTCAAGTTTGAAAACGCATTTCTTCACCGAGCCCTCTTCAGCAAGACTTCCAAGTTAACTAGCCCGCTGCAGGGAATTACTCTGAAGCTAACTCCGCTTGACTGGTAGAGCTTCCCAGAGAGCGGAGCGGCGAAGCTTGGGAGTAATGCGGGATCACTTCTGGGCGAGTTGGCAAAATAATATCGACGAACAAATTTGTAACATTTGCCTTGTTGAAGCATTTTTTGGAAGCCATTCATTTAGGGTGGGGTATTTTCTTCGCATCACCTTCGCTCCTAGATCGAGTTCTCAGTATCTGGATTTTGATGCGTACCCAGGGGCTCTTGCTTCTTCGTCGCTTACGTCATCACCGACGCCCGGGTCTTCTCAATCTTCTAGCCGCATCCGCGGACAAAGTCACGGAGACGAACACCGAGAGAGTGCACAACCGCATCAGGGAGGTGGCGCTTCTTCCCAAGACTACCTATGTTATCCTTGCTTCGACCACCGACCTTCTACAGGAGCGAGTGTACCAGAGTTGGGCAAAGATACCACGTCGCGTGCATAGTATCCTACATCTTCTTCTCTTACTTCATCTTCGCTACAGCCTCCGAGCCACCGCCGTGCACAAGGCAATGAGCTCAATCGACCTCTTGTTTCACCCCTCGCTCAACACAAAGGGCCCCGCTGCGATGAGGATCGTAGATGTGAACGCCCTCTGCACGACCAATATCCGTATTCTTCCTCATCGCCTTTGGGGCGCTCGCTGGAAGAGGGCAAAATTACCAGAACCAGAAGTATCCCAAGAACGAAGTCCACCGGATTTGGTAATCAAACAGACACTGATATTACGGATGTTGACGAACAGCTGCATCAGGACTGCCCTCCCCCTCCCCTTCCCCCTCCCCCTCCCAGCAACGACACGACTGCAATCAAAGTGGCGTCATGGAACGTTCGAGGACTTACTGATGCGAAAACTATTGAAATTATATCGCATGTGGACAAGCGTGGCATTGGCATTTTAGCTC